CCTCGCGGCCGCCCGCGCCCACCGCGTGTGCACCGCAGGAACGCCGCGTGCCCGGCACTGCCCGCACACCTTTGCGTTGTTTTCAGTTCGGGGCACTTATGAATAGAACCACAAAAGATTCATTTTCCGGTTTTTGTGTGAACATATGTTTTTCTTACATTAGAATAATGCCTGGGAGTGGGACCGACGGGTCATATAATTGTATTAGACGCTGCCAGCCATTTTCCAGAGTGGCTGTGCCACCTTGCATTGGCACAGCGCTTGCTCTGGTCACTATGTATCCTTCTCGGAGTTTGGTATTGTCAGTATTTTTTTATTTTAGTCATTTTATGATGTGTAGTGATATCAGAGTGGTTCTAATGTACATTTCCCCAAACAATTTCTCTTATTTTTAACATCTTACATTATGGCACATTTATTACAATAAACTAATATTTATAAATTATAATTAACTAAAGTTCATGTTTATTAGAGTTCTTTAATTTCTAATTAATGTCCTGTTTCTGTTCCAGGATACCCTGTTATATTTACTAGTCATGTCTCCTGAGGTTCCTCTAGACTGATAGTTTCTCAGACTTTTCTTGTTTTTGGTAACCTTGTCAGTTTAAGGAGTGCTGTTCAGATATTTTGTAAAATGTTCCTCAATTTGGATTTGTCTGATGTTTTTGCCATGGTTAAACAGGAGTTTTGGGTTTTAATGGCTTTGCTTATTTTTAAAAGGACTGTTTGTTTACTCACTGGTGAGTTTTGAGAGTTCTTTATATATTATAAATTATAAACACAAGTCCTTTGTCCGATATGTAATTTGCAATTTTTTCCTGTCTATCGCTTGTCTTTTCATTCTCTTAACAGTAATGTTCATTAAACAAAAATTTTAAAATTTGATGCAATCCAATTTACCGATTTGTTTCTTTTATGGATCATGTTTTGGTGGTCATTGCTAAGAACTTTTTGTATAACCTCAGGCTGTGAAGATTTTCACCCAATGTTTTCTTCTAAAATATTTATAATTTTCAGGCATATTGTTCTGTAAATGTCAATTAGATCCAGCCAAGTTGATAATGTTTTTCTTTTGGTTTAGCTTGTTTGTGGTCCGATCAGCCTTTTGAATTTATAGGTTTATGTCTTCTGCCAAATTTGGGAAGTTTTCAGCCATTATTTCTTCAAATGTTTGTTCAGCACTGTATTCTTTCTCCTGTCCTCTGGGACCCTGATAATATGTATATTAGAACTTCAGTTGTCCCACAGGCTCCTGAGGTTTTGTTCATGTTTTCTCTGTACTGTTCAGACTGGATAATTTCTGTCACTCTATCTTTAAGTTCACTGATATTTTTTCCTTTGTTTCCTCTCCATTCTGCTATTAGTTTCATCCAGTGAGATTTTAATTATGGTTATTATATACTTTGGTTCTAAAATTTCCATTTGTTTCTTCTTTATATCTTCCATGATTCTTTATATTTTAACATTTGTTTCAAGAATGCTCACTATTGTTCACTTAAGCACTTTTATAATAGCTGTTTTGAGTCTTTGGCATATAATCTCAATATCCATTTCATTTTGTTGTTGGCATCTATTTATTATTTTCCATGCAAGGTAAGATTTACATAGTTCTTTGTTTATCAAGCAATTTTGGCAATGTTGTTGAAAGAACATGTTTAAAAGCATGCAGTACTCAAAGATTCTATAAATATTTGTGTCACAAGGAAAAGTAAACCCAGCCAAAGTCTGTCTTTTTGATGATTTACTAAAAATTCTTTTTTGGAAGGTTATAGTTTAACAATTAAAATTGAAACAATATTATATTATTTATGTCTCTTAATTACAAAATATGTATCTTGCAGTACTGGAAAAGACTGAATTCTCAAGATGAGCTACCTGAGACTTCAGGCTTTGTTTTTACTTTCTACCCTGTTTTCGATGTGCATGGTAATCTGAAATCAGTCCATTATCATCATATTTGTTTTCATTATCAAGTATAATGATTTTATCTTCTATTGGGCTAATTATCTTTAACACGGGACTACATACTTAAGTAAAAACAAAGATGAAATTCTCCCACTTGCAGAGAAGAAAAAATAATAATCTCTTCTCCCCACATATGAGAACTACCGGTTTTTTCCTTGTAAAGGGTGACTGGGAGCAGGACGAGCACAGAGGGCACGAGGGGCTTCTTTACAGTCTTGCTAACTCACTAAAACTTCCCCCGCACCAATGCAGTTAGAACTGACACACAGAACACACTAGGCTTTGTGGGACCACAAGGCATCCACAGGTTTTGCTAGGATGACGGTGACAATTCTTTAGGGGCAGCAAGCTGAAAACAACAAAAACTAGTAACAAGACTAAAAGAAAAAAGAGGCAAACTACCAAAAAGAAAAAGAGAGAAAAGAAATAAAAGAAAGGAAGAAAGGAGGGGGAGATGGAGGGAAAAGAGAGAGAAGGAGAGGGGTGGGGGAGGGAAAGAGGAAGGAAGAAAGAGGATGCCTCCCAACTGACAGGAGGCGTCTTTCAGCTGAGACACAAACTCCTTTACATTCATTGTGCTCAGGGCCTTTTGGTTTCACAGTCTGAGATCCAAATTCTAGTTCTGCCATTTCCCAGCTCTACCACCTTGTTCTCTGGACTGCTTGCTCAACTCTGAGACAGTGATTATAACATGTACCCTGTAGGAGATGCTATTGAATGGGGGTTTGAGACTGACCAAAGTCTTTCAGTCATCCTGAGATAGCCCAGTAATACTTCTAGGTAAGATGAGATGAAAACAGCTCAAGCAATGAAAAAATACGTAGGTAAATCTGAGCTACTTGGCATTTTTGGGATGGATAACACTGATAAGATTTTTAAATGAAATGATCACCTCTTTGGTAAAGTAATTATTGAGACCTTTAGTATTGTTAAGTATTATTTGAAGCTTCACAACTTAATGAAGATAGGAACTATATTTTTGCTGAACCCAGGAAAAAACATGATTTTCATTGAAGAAATTATAATACAATTGTGAAATTTTGCTAACAACACAATTTAGATGAATGAAATTTTCTTTTTTAAAAAAGAAGAAATTTGTATGCATATATGCACAACCCAAGGACATGGACAATGGTGGGGAGAGGGACTGAGGAGGGAGATGGGATGGGATGGAACGGGTCATTGGGGAGAAAAAGGGACATCTGTAATATTTTAAACAGAAATAAAAAATTAAATTAATTTAATAAATAAATAAATAAAGTACTTACTTCTAAGATTATGAAGCAACATATCTAGTAAAGTCATAAATTTTGAACACTGAATAATAGAAAAATCCATGCCTCTGGCCCACAAAAATCCAGACACATAATAATCTAGTAGAATGGCTTGTTTTAAATTGGTTTTAAGATGTTTGAAATTCAAAAATGTGGCCAATTTTCTGTAACGAAAAGAAAAATTAGGTATTAAAATCAGATTAAATATTGTTAAGTTCTTTTTCTAAGTTTTGAAAATGTAAATATTTGTCTTGAATGAAAATTCTGTAACGCCCATAATCTAAAAATATTCATGGTTATATCTAAATTCTAAGTCCAAAATGGCATTCAAAAAAGAAAGAGAGAGGAGAGAGAGAGGGAGAGAGAT